GAAAGAGAGAAGAATAAAATAAGTTAAAGATGGGAAACTTAAAAAAAACAAAACCACTATTATTATTATTATTATGGTTTTCCATTGAAAAATCTGAAAGTTTTGAATGAAGCAAATATTAAGCACTAAAAGTATGCTTTGAAAAAAAAAAGATTTTTTGACAATGTTTTTGAACATAATATTTTATGAACTCTAGCTATAATATTTGTATTCTTAGGATTGAAGAGGGTTGCTTACCTTTCCACCTTTCTCCAAGATAAAGCTAAATAACCAAACATGGACTCCCCCCCCTCCTCCCCCAAATACCCACAACTGGGCCTAAACTCAAATGTTCATGTTTATTAAACTGAGGGAATTATTATAATTAGTTAAATTAATTTCTCAGGTAGCAATACCAATTTATGTGTATTCTACAAACCAGAAAGGAGAGATTTCCTTTGAAACTTAAATCACTTAAGATAAGCTGGGTGTTATTTTAAGGTTTGCAAATTGCTTGTTTGTTTTTCCAGCTGGAGCTGTTAATTCAGAACAATTAACATGCAGTTTAAAACTGGAATGAAACATATGGAATAGTCTCAAAGAAAAATGTCTGTTATGGCATCTCTTTAGTATCAGAAAGGGAGTCTGGAATACTGGCTGTTTAAAGCAGCAGAAAGGAGGCGTAGAACAGGATTTGAGCAGCATAGGAACAGGGGCACCAGCTTTCATTTGCTTTTAGGAAGTAAACACATGTCTAGTTAGCACACTTCAGCAATTCATCTTTTCTTCTAAGGCCTGGGTTTATTGTAGTTCCTCATTAAAGACTTTCTTCGGTGGCTGAGTCACTTCTTCATGCCCTTTCTATATCTGTTGATTACCATCTCCATTGACTCTAGTAATTCAAGTGCCAAACAGTTCAGTCCATCTTTGAATTTAGCTGCCTTTGTTCTAGAGCCTGGACCAGAATCAAAGAGCACTTTTACATGCGCTCTGGGGTAGGGGGGAATGGCACTTTAATCAGAGTGGTTCTGAGAGCTGCTCTAATTAAAGCGCCACAGTGTCTTGTGTATCAGTATCCCTGTGCTTGAAAACGGTGGTGGGAGTGCTTGAACTAAAGCTCATTCAAAGAGCTTTAGTTCAAGCACCCCCACCACCATTTTCAAGCACAGGGAAGCTGATATATGAGATGTGGGAGGCTGCTGAAGTGCGGTAATTACCGCACTCCA